GTACTGTAAACTGCTTTCACTGCCCCTGTCTGGCCTGTGCTCTACACTGGATTCATATTCATATTCTACATACAGTGAGCCCTCACTGACCCCACCTTGAACATGCAATCCTTTCCCAGCTGTCACAGTAGCACGATGGAGCACCACATCTCTGCTTGACCCTTGCCTTTATCAAACGACTGGGCCACTGGGAAATTGATCCCAGCTCCTTTGATTGTAAATCTGTGCCGACGTTACGACTTCTACCAGTGAAAGGAATTGAATAAAAGAGAAGATTGTGGACATTAAAAGATGATATAGATCAATGTGGGCAGTGATGCCTAAATGGGTGTACAGCATGCGCTCTATTTACATGAGGTGAGGTGTATATGAGTATCCATGAAGGATTTCCCGAATGACTTTGTATGACTACCCGCGTTATCTGGCCCGTAGGCGCGGCCCAGGACAGCACATTACCACATAGATGGAAGCAGCCATTGTGTAGATAAATGGCAGAGGTTTCCTCTCCCCCAGAAGGGCACCATGAAATGGGAATTATGTCAATGACAATATTCCTCAGCGCTGGTGTCTGTCGCACACTCACCCACTCGGACGCATTTTATGCCATGCTCGGCATCCGGATTTGCCCTGTGGTGTGTTTGGAGATAAACGGATGTGTTCTGAGGAAGAAGAGATCTTTGTGTCATTTTGTGTTCAGATCCAGCCATAACAACAAAGCTAAAAGACAACCATAGAGGCTACTTATACCCGGGGGGGGCAATTCTGCCATTGCCAGGTGATGCGTAAAAAGATTGTTAAAAACGTGTGTGTGTGTGTGTGTGTGTGTGTGTGTGTGTGTGTGGGGGGGGGGGGGGGTTCCTTATCAGATGCGAGGACGGAGCATGTCGTATTTTGTAGAGCCCTTTGAGGCTGATTTGTGATATTGAGCTACACAAATTTCAACATTTTATTGAAAATTGAATTGAATTGAGACTCAACTAATTTGAAAAAAAAATTGAATCATGATTTGATTGAAACAACGTATATATATCCATATATTGAGTCAGCTGTAACAAGTTATGTGGTGCTGTGTGAGTGAGTGAAAGCTTAAAAGTACTTAATTAACAATTCAAATAGTTACTTAAAAGTAATAAATGAGTGAATAATTAGCAAATGGATAGAATAGTGGTTGAAGCTTCGTGCTTCAGCCACTCCAAGTTGCAGGAGTACAAGTGCAAACTTGGACCAGACAGCCCAAACATTGGCAGTTCAGATGTATGAAAACGTTATAAGCTTATCCAAGATATCCACTTTTATATGTAACATCCAGGTTAGGATCAGTTCAAATGGACACATTGGTAACATGACAGGCGGTGTGAGTGAATGGGTACAAGAGTTAATCTAACAGGGCAGATGTCTGAGTAAAAAGGGTGGGGATACTGTATGAACAGTGGGTGTTTGTGTTGCCAAATAGAAAATTGTATAATGACTTCATTCATTGTGTCACTGAGCTGCTAAGATTATCTAGTTTTTATTTTTCTGGCACTAGTTTCATTCCACACTCAAAGCGGCTCTGCTAACAGGAGGAGGGGCTTGCAAATTTGCAAATTCCTCTGCGTGCATAATCTTGACTGAAATGAAGGCAAGAATTTCATTATGTTGCTGAACTCCACCACAGCGAAGGGAAACGTTTGCACATAGGGGAGATACTGATAGTAGGAAGAGCTTGATACACTGTGAATGTGTGCACGTCTTTGTGAGATCGTTACGGCCGTACTGTATGAGGATGATTCATCTTAACTGTGGATCGATATCATACCTCTTGTATGTGTTACTGCGTTACGCTGAGGGCAGGGAGGGCCTCGTTATGTGGCACACAGCCCGGCGCTGCTGCTAAGAACCCGTGTATCAAATGTATTTTCACATCCCACAGTATATACTGTCTGATCTATTGTGTCCCTGCTTGATGTGCGTTTACCACGCTGAAAGCGGGGTTTTAAATTGTAGATTTGTATTTTTAATTGAAGGAAAACGCACACGTGGGATATAAAGAAATGCAGCGGATGTTAAAGCGCAATGCAGATGAGAATTGATAGATCAAAACTAGCACATCAGGATTCAGTGTGAGTAGGACAGATATGGAGGGAGAGAGGTAGGGAGGGAGGGTGAAGGCGAAGGGGCAACCCCCCTTTCTAGACGAGGGATTCCTTTACTGCAGTGATCAGCAGTCCCCCCCCCCTCCTCTCCCTCCATCCCACCCTCCTCCCCTCCCAGCAAGTCTACTGCTCCTCTCCTCCTCTCCCTCCATCCCACCCTCCTCCCCTCCCAGCAAGTCTACTGCTCCTCTCCTCCCTCCCCACACTCGCGGCTTTCTCTTATTTTTATCTCCCACTCACTCTTTCTCCTTCCTCTGTTTCCCTTCATCCCCTCTCTCTCTCTCTCTCTCTCTCTCTCTCTCTCTCTCTCTCTCT